TTTACGAGCGGCTTTTTCTCTGGATCAACAAGCAAATCAACAAAAGCATCAACAAACAACAAAGCCTCGACACCTTTATCGGTGCGCACCCAGCTAGCCAGTTAGAGCCAGCTAGCCAGGTAGCCCGCTAACCAGCTAGCTAGCTAGACAGATAGCCAGATAGCCAGCTAGCCAGCTAGGGAGCGGCCAGCCAGCATACCAGCAACTAGCGAGACAGTTGACCTGCAAGCAAGCTAGCCAGCAAACAAGCTAGCCAGCGTGCTAGCCAGCCAGCCAGCCAGCCAGCCAGCCAGCCAGCCTGCTAGTCAGCCAGATAACCAGCTAGCTAATCAGCCAGCCAGCCTGTCAGAGGAAGACTTTAAAGGTAGTTAGCGGCGCAAGCGGCAATGCATCTACACGTGGCAGAATACATGCGTACGTCCATATATTCTCGCCTACATTGCCGCTTGCGATGTGTAAATATTCATGTATTTTTCCATACGCTTTTTTGTATACGTACATTTGAATACTTCTAAATATTTATGTTGCTGCTTGTGGGATTCAGGGCAGGCGACTCCCGCAGCCTGTGCTTTTGCACAGCGTCACCAGTACGACTAGTGGCAGCAACAGCAGCCGGGAAGGAATTAGAAATGACAGCAGCAGCAGTGGCATGAGGAGTAAAAGACTGTACAGAAGGATGGCAAATATCAAAAAATTATAAATCAAGTGTTCTGTCCTTTAAGACGAAGAAGCAGAACAAGACGAGGTAGCAATGCAACATTTCGAAATCAGCTTGTATCCCCAGAGCCTTTAGAGCCGCCTGCAAAGTAAAGAGCTGGTGGGGGCCTCGCCCCAACATTTTGTGCTGCACCAGGATGTTGTTGAGGGCGCAGCGTCTTTAAGCATGGGAGAGGGTGCTGCAGTGCTGTAGCAGCACGTCTGCCTCTACGCAGCAGAATTGCGCTCTACAGAGCTATAAATTATGCGTTTATCACAATTTCAAAGTACACATCCGTGTTCTCCGACGAACAAGTGATGCATAATGCCGGTTGTGCAGTTAAAGGGCACTCGTGTGCTAAATCAATTGGAAATAGTTGAGATCAAAACAACGATTCATATGCATGCGCACATGCATGTATTAATTATGTACCTGTGGTACATATAAACGCACGTAGATTTGTTGTGGATTCTCTTGAAGCAAATTCATGCTGCCTGCTTTTTAACGTGCAATCGCTTGCTTCTGCTTTCTGCAAATCGGCAGCGCAAAGATAATAAGAATGCCAGACAGGCAATCCTATCAAAAATAGACGGCGTTACCGCATGTTCCCCTTATCTGCCGGTGCACTGCTGGCGCACAAATGCAAATGACAAAATCAAGACTACGCATGCATGGTGCTTGCGAGCAAGCGTTTCGAATTGTTAAGGTCAAGTGCCGCTATCAGCGACAGCAAAAGAAACCTTCCTACGCTTGGGTTCCATAGCTGGCTGCGGGGCCCCACTCCTCCTCATAGACGTTTTCACTTGCTGTTGTTACTGCTGCTGCTGCTGCGCTGTTTTCTATTCAAACTGCTGCTGCAGGTGCTTGTCCTGCTGCAGGGGTTGCTGGCGGCGTAGCGGCGGCGTCTTCTGGTTTTGGAAGAGCGGCAGTGGCTGATGCTGGCGTCTTGTGGCGAATCTTCTGCTGCTGCTGCTGCCGCTGCTTTTGGTGAAGCAGTGGGAGCAGAAGCAGCGACGTCTCTCTTTCCGCTTCTTAGGGATTTGGAGTGGCCATTGCGCCTTTGGGTGCCGCAAGCAGCTTTCCTTGCTGATTGGCTGCCACTGGAGCTTAGCTTGCTGCTGCTGCGGCTGCTGGTTCTGCTGCTGCAGCTGCAGCTGCGGCTGCTGCAGGGGGCAGCACCGGAACGACGGCAACTACGAACTTCAGCAGTTTCCTTTTCAATCAATTCCCTGCACAACCCAACTCGAGACAGGTTTTAGGGGTCAGGGTTTAGGGTCTGGGACACAGGGTCTACAGTTTCGGGGTTAGCGTTTACAGAATAGAGTAAAAGAATGGAAGAGCCTGCAGGGGTTTGGCTGAATAGGCAAGTAGACAGAGTGTCAACCGTAGACTGCAGTTTCCATGCCTTACGCCCGAAACCTTACGCACCGCTCCATTGCAGCTAAGGTTTGCTGCGGGGCCCTTCTGGGTACATTTTTAAGGGCTGATGCCAAGAGCGCATGCAGGCCCAGTTTGCTACTGTGCCTGCTTCGCCGCATTCCCAACTTGTGCTGCTTTTGTCTATTTTTAGCCCTCATTTGCCTGGCAGCTGCTTCTTGTGTTGTGTCCACACAACGCAGTTCTACCCCCTCAGATAGCTAGCTGGTAAGCAGCTAGGTGGCCGCCAGCCACCCGCTAGCTGGATGGGCAGCAGTATGAGAGACGGCTAAAGACTGCGGTGCGGCGTCCGCGTGGAGAGGATAGCTAGTTGTCGAGCCACGCGCCTAGCCACCAACGCAGCTAGCTAGTTGGCTAGCTGTGGCCAAGGGAGGTGTTTAGAGAAAACAGCCAAAACTAAAACTTGGTGCTCAGGGTTACGCTGCCTGCTTAGAATCCTTTTGTTTTAGTTGGCGGTAAGGGGATTTCTGGCGGCGGCGGGAGCTGTGGAAACGCAGCTGCAGCACGAAACTGCTCGAATCTATGCAGACTTAGATGTTTTAATGCTAAAATGGTATTCAGTGGCATCTAATTATTTAAAGAGTGTGCCGGAAAGCACGGAAACAGAGCGTACGCGAAGCAGAAGCCCGCTCGGTGCACGCCCCAATCACAGTCCGCAACAGAAAACGTGCAAAATTATCCAATTCGTTGAATTTTCCCCTGGAAATCATGTCTGAACTAATTAAAATATATCCTTCTTGTGCAAGTAGTTATTTCCCAGGAGCGGCAAAGGCTGCCGAGATCTAGGTGGATCCCAGGTGACACGGGGCTTCGGCAGCGGACATCGAAGTGCCTACTTACCCACTTTGATCGAACAAATAAACTCACTTGGTTTATTTCTGAACTTTAATTAATTATAACACCCTTGAACTTCAACCAACTGCACTGACAAGCTGAACCAAGGAAAACAGCAGAGCTGAAACAGCCAGCCCAAAATATCAATACCAGCTCCTATTATAATGAACAGTAGCCACATTTATTTCCCGCAAGAAATGCAACTTTCTCCCGGCAAAAAAGAAATAAAAAAAATCCTACAGCGATACGTACTTTTGCTGCTGCTGGCGCTGGAAGGCAAAGGCGTGCAAAGTTCAACTGACAATAATTCGCTGCACATTCTTTGTGGCTCATTAGCCACAAGAATTTGAAAAAGTTCAGCTCTTTTTGCAGAGGCCATAACGCTGCAAGCCCTGAGCCCTGAGCACTAACACTCAAGGGGAAGAATTTCAAGGGGGCACTTCTTTGCTGCTGATTTATTCAGTTATATTTTTAATGGTCTTTTTGCCAGAACTTCCGTGCAATAATATCTACCTGCCTATGTTCATTTGAGCATGTCAATATATATTTACTTCCAAATATAAGCTCGCGCAAATGCTTCAACGGATATCCCAACGGATATCCCCAAACGTTGTAGCTTTCCTAAGAGATCTTTGAGGTGTGTTGCAACAAGAAGAAGTTTTGCAGTTTTCTGCAGAGGCCAGAGCCACCACAAGTGTTATAAAAAGATCTAAGTGTTATAAAAAGACCTTTTAAATGATTAGATTGCTGCTTATGGGGAGACAGCCCGCAGCAGTTTGCAGGGCTTATTCAAGGGGAATCTCACAATCGCCTTGAACTATTGCACAGCAAGGGGGACAAGGTTTCCTATAAACCCAGGGGCCCCAGTACCTTGTCATTTGATTCTTGTTTCTGGGAAAATCAAAGAAAGTGGATTCGTTTTGAGACAAAGTGAATTTGTTTTAAAAGAACTAACCCTGATAAACAGCAGTTTGCAAAGCCTTGCCTGGGGCTGTGGCTGGCCAGCGAAAGGGTTGGGCTGTACCCGCCTATGTGCTTCTGGAAATATCTTTTCTTGTTGCAGCAAATAATAAGCATGCAAAGTCAAGTGCAAATGAGTACACATACAAATGAAAGACGCAGGCGAGCGTGTGGAAGTACTTTACACAATATATATCTGTCTTATTTGCGAAATGTGCACACATATACATATATATTACCATACTACATAGCCGCATGCATGCGGCTGCGGAGGTAAAATGCTCCATGTATTCACAAATGATAACTCTTCAGAACAGACATCTCGATGAAGTCAGGTAGCGCGGAGGCAAGAGGCTGTACATACACCTTGAGAGAAGCTCTGAAGAAAGCAGAAATAGAAATAGAATTTGTTGCATGCCACTAAATTCTTTGTTTGCGTAGTCCTCATGAAAACTGGAGGGCTAGAGTTGTCGGGACTGCAGCAGCGTCCTGGCGTGGTTAGCGCAGAGGCAATCCCCCCTTTGCCTTTTGCCTTAAATAAAAATGATAAATTAAATTTAACTAAACCATGTGGAGACAAAAAGGAAGAAAGGGCCGGTTGTACCGACAGGTGGTATGCTGTCACTCAAGGGCGCTGGACGTACACCCCACAGAGGGGGTGCTGTTGCACAGCTGCTGATGAGTAAAAGTTCAATTTACATGATTTAATTAAGTTTAATGTCATTTTAATTTCGGAATTTCTCAAAAAGAGAAGGCGCTACGCCGGAAAGTCTTGAGTGGCGGACTCCGCCGCTGACCATCTGCGTTCCGGGTTCAACAATGCACCCCGGCAGCTTTATTTCCAATCCCTTCTTCCCTCCGGAATATTAAAAAGGAATTCGAATTATTATTTTCGAGAAACTGCGGATTAATTCAAAGAAATGTCGACGCTTTTCTCGGCTCTCCTTCGCCCGACCCGCCCGCCACTGCCCAGGGGCCTCCACCACAGAAACCCCTCAGCCTTCCCACTGTGGAGCGCTCGAAGCCCCACTGCATGCTCTGCATGCAGCGCATGCACAGCTGGCTCGGCCTTGAGGCAGAGGCTGCATGTTCTTGGTCAAGCAAAGCCCTCCAGCAGCAGCAGCAGCAGCAGCAGCAGCAGCAGCGGCCACAGTAGCCGCAGCAGCAGCCACTGCCTCCCACACAGCATCAGTAGGCGCTGCTGCGGCAGCAGCGCCTCCAACATCCACCCCACGAGCAGCAGCAGCAGCAGCAGCAGCAGCAGCAGCAGCAGCAGCAGCAGCAGCAGCATAATCCACATCCGCGCGTTCTCCACTTCATCAGGTACCCTCTACACCCCCAGCCACGAATACCTCAGATTTGTCTCCCCTGAAGGCTGCGAGGCTGCTGCAGGCATTTCAGAGTTTGCTGCAGAACAGCTGGGGGAGGTTGTTTACATAGAGGCCCTCGTGGCACCGGGGGCCCCCCCCGGGGGCCCCTCTGGGGGCCCCCCCGGGGGCCCCCCGGGGGGCCCCCCCGGGGGCGCCCCTGGGGGGCTCCCTGGGGCCTCCCTCCCGGGGGGCCCCCCCGGGGGCCCCCTAGAGGGTCCTGAGGGAGATACTGGAAACAGACCCCACGGTGATCCCCAGGGGGCCCCCTGGGGGGCCCCGAAGGAGGGGCCCCCGGGGGCCCCTGAGGGAAGTCCCCGGGGCCCCTCGTGGGTTGAAAGGGGGGCCCCTGTATGTACACTGGAAGCAGTGAAGGCTGTTGCTGAGGTGTATGCTCCTGCTGCTGGGCACATTATAGAGTTTAATGAAAAAATAAAAAGAGACCCTGGACTCATTAATAGGGACCCTGAGGGAGAAGGCTGGATCTTCAAGATTGCTGTAGACCCGCCCGCCGCTGCTGCTGCTGCTGCTGCTGCTGCGGAACCTGCAGCAGCAGCAGCAGCAGCAGCAGCAGCAGCAGCAGCAGCAGCACAAGAAGCAGCTAGAGATTCTCTTCTCTCCGCAGCGGCCTATGCAGCTCATGTAAACAAAGAGACACTGGTAGAGGTCGAGGGCTAACAGAGTAAGCCTGGGGGCCCCTAGGGGGGCCCCCAGAGGGCCCCACGAGGATGTTGAGAGCCTGGGGGCCCCCAGAGTTTCCCTGGAAGCCTTGGGGGGCCCCCGGGGGGCCCCCAGGGGCCCCCTGGGGGCCCCTCGGTAAAAATTAGAAACGCTGGATGGGTTTGGTCAAATGTAGTGGCCTTGCTGCACAGGATTGACGGCGCGGGAGCTAAATTTAGGTTCCTAGGGTTTAGGGTTTAGGGTTTAGGGTTTAGGGTTTGGAAGGGCGGGGAGTTGATAGTGAGCAACTGCTAGCCATTGTATATTTTCGCACAGGGTGTATGTACACCCCAGCGGCTATTTTTTATACAGGCAACGAACCCGCAAAACGTCTCAGTTTGTGGCATGAGGCCCCAAGGGGGGCCCCCAAGGGGGGCCCCCAAGGGGGCCCCCAAGGGAGGCCCCCAAGGGGGGCCCCAAGACTAAGCGCCCCTTAGGGGCCTTTTTAGGGGCCCCCTAAGCTGCCTAAAGTGCTAACTTAAGGGTCTTACGAGGCCCCTCCGGGCCCCTAAGTAGGGCCCCTCGACTCCTTTTAGGGGCCCCTGAGGGGCCCTCTGAGGGCCCCCATACCAATTAAATTCAACTGGGGGCCTCCTCTGCCCCGCTATGAGCATATGGGGGCCCCCAGGGGCCCCCTGAAGTCCAGAGCAGGTGTTAGAAGGGACCGCTGGGGCCCCCGGAGGCCCCTAGGGGCCCCTGGGGGCCCCTGGGGCCCCACAGACGAAGGTGGAAACAACTGTAGGCCCCTCAGAACTCCTTCTCTTTATATTCCTTTGCAAAAAGATTAAATGGAGAATTAAAATGGAAAATAAATTTAATTCTTCTTTTGTTTCTCTCCTTTGACCTCTTCGGTGGGGCCCCTGACCGGGCCCGGCCCGATGCTCAGGGGGCCCTGCCTTCAGTGTGAAACTTACGAGATTTGCCGAACCTGAATAATGAAAGTTAATTGAATTGAATTAAGTAAATTTAATTGCATTAAATTGGTATTTTGAACTTATTTTTATTTAAACATTTCTGTTTATTTGCCTCATTTCACACTACTGAGGATGCCTGCTGAAGTCCCCAGCAGCAGCTTCCCAGCTGCCACCGGGGGCCCCACAGATAAAGAGAGGGTCCTGTCTGGGGGCCCCCAGGGGGGGCCCCCTGGAGGGCCCCCTGAGGGCCCCCCTGCAGTTCTCCGTGGGGGCCCCACTGGCGGGGCCCCCAGGGGGGCCCCCATGTCCCTCAGGGGCCGGGAGGGGCCCCCACGGGCCCTCCAAGTATTCTTTGAAAGGTTAGGGTCTTCTCCAGAATCTCTGCAGGCCTACCGGGCCTGCGTGCGTGCATGGGTTGAGGAAAAGGCAGCAGCAGCAGCAGCAGCAGCAGCAGCAGCAGCAGCAGCAGATGGGGCCTCTAGCGGAGTCTACGCAGAGCTGCAGGCCCTCGCCCAAGAATCCCTCAGATGCATAGAAGCAGCAAACTGCAGCTGGCTGCTGCTGCTGCACTCTGCTGCAGCAGCAAATAGGGGGCCTTCTGGCAGCGCCCCTGCAGAGCCCTCAAATAAGTCCCCAGGGGGGCCCCCAGGGGGGCCCCCAGGGGGGCCCCCAAGGGGGCCCCCAGGGGGGCCCCTAGGGGGCCCCCCAGAAGGGGCCCCTGAGGAGGGGGCCCCTAGAGATGCTTCCGAGGGGCCCCTTCTGTCTCTGCTGCATCCTCGCTTATTATGTGGCTGCTTCTTCTTGCTTAAGGACCTGCTGAGTGATGGTGCTGCTGCGAGCGTCTGCTGCAGTGAATTTTGTGCTGCTGCTGCTGCTGCTGCTGCGGAGCTGCTGCGGCTGCTGCCAGCAGCAGCAGCAGCAGCGGAGAGACACAAAAGGAGCCTCAAAGCGAAGGGGTCTCGAGTCAAGCACTTGGGGAGGTCCAGCAGGCGAGGAATGGGGGAGCAAAATGTTGCTGCAGCTCAGCAGCAGCAGCAGCAGCAGGAAGAGGCGCAGGTTGCTGCTGCTCCTGCTGCTGCTGTTGCTGCCTACGGCGACCCCGAGGAAGTCTCGCTGCTCCGATTTGCTGCAGTTGATTTAATTGTTTGTCTCGCAGCAGCTGCTGCTGCTTCTTCTCAGAAGTTATATTTCAATTCTGAAGAAGATGAGGGCCCCCTGGCTTCTCTTGCTTCCGAACTAGAGCTGCAGCTGTCGCGGGTTGCTGCTGCTGCGCTGCAGCAAAAGCAGCAGGGGCCTGCTGCTGCCCCTGCTGCTGCAGCTTCACCACAAGGGAACTCATTTGCTGCTGCGGCTCAGCTGCAGCAGCAGGAACAGCAGCAGCAGCAGCAGCACCAAGCTGGGGTGTATGTACACCTCAACGGCCTCTCCTTTTCGGTGCTCGCTGAAATCACCTGCGTCTTCTGTCGATCTCTGGAGCGCATGCAGCGCGAAGTAACCAAAAATAAATAAATAAATTATCTAATTTTGTAATTAATTAATTATTTAATCACTTTAATTTGTTTTTTATCGTTGGATTCATCACCACTGATCAGTGGGTGCGCGAGGTGTATGTACACCTCGGCTTCTGCCTCTGTTGCGTGCGGTGTCTTCCCAGGCTTCAGACCAGCAGCAGCAACGGCAGCAGCAGCAGCAGCAGCAGCAGCAGCAGCAGCAGACAAAACAAATACTCAATCGGCTGGCCTGCCGTTTGCTGCCGCTGCTGCTGCAGCTGCTCACTGTCGATACACTGCAGCCGTTGGCCGAGGACACCCGGAAGCTGCTGCTGCCTGCGCTGCTGCAGCACGTGTCTGCTGCTGCTGCTGCTGCTTTTATCTTCGCTGCAATTCACCGTCTCCTTGACCCTTTGACAGTGCTCACAACCAGCAGCAGCAGCAGCAGCAGCAGCAGCAGCAGCAGCAGCAGCAGCAGCAGCAGCAGCAGCAGTGTGAGCTTAAAGGTATTTGATATGCTTCAGAAAGGGCCCCCTCCCCCGCGCAGCGGTGAGGCCTTCGAGCTAGCGCTGCGGCATTATGATTTATTCTTGGCAGCATTTTGCCCGCAAGACACAGCAGCAGACGCGGAGCAGCAGCTGCTGCTGCTGCTTAAAGCAGAGCAGCAGCAGCAACTGCCGCAGCAGCAGCAACAGCAGCAGCAGCAGCAGCAGCAAGTGGAGAATAGGAAGCCTTGGGACAGCAACGACACCAGGTGGCGGTGGCTCTTCTGGGGTGTCACGTGTCCCACAGTTAACTGTGTGCGCAGCAACTCGCGCCAGCTGCTGCAGCTGCTGCAGCAGCAGCAACAGCAGCAGCAGCAACTGCCGGGAGTCACTGCAGCAGAGCAGCGTGGCGCCTGGACGTCATTTATGAACCTTTTGGAAGCTCTCGACGACTTCTCGCAGCATTTGGTTCAGCAGCAGCAACAAACGCTGCTGGGATTGTGCGCCGTTGCAGCAAAAGCAGCAGCAGCAGCAGCAGCAGCAGCAGCAGCAGTAGGAACGGCTGCAGCAGCAAACGACAATTGGCTATCCCCCCTGCTTGTGCAGCCTCTGTGGGTCGAGGTAGTTTTGCTGCGGGCCTTTGCCCACGACAACGCAGTGCTGAGCCGCAGCTTCATTTTGACATTTATGTCTCTTTGCTGCAGAAACACTAACGAGGGGGCCCCGAGCAGCAAAAGCAGCAGCAGCAGCAGCAGCAGCAGCAGCAGCAGCAAGGAGCCCAGCCTGCTGCTGTGCGTGTCGCGGAGTTTTGTCTTGGTGTGTTTGGTTCGCCACATGTCTGTCCCTTCTTTCTTTACGAGGGGCAATAATTGCAAAGAGGCTGAGCAAACAGCACAGGCGTTTTTGCTGCAAAGGCTAGCGCAGCAGCAGCAGCAGCAGCAGCAGCAGCAGCAGCAGGGGGTTTCTGGGTGTCTCAGCATATCCTGTGTTGCTGAATACCTGCAAGCTGTGGGAGACCACTGCTACACCTACACTCCCCTGCGGGTGTTTCTGGAGGCGTTGCTGCTCCCAAGCCAGCAGCAGCAGCAGCAGCAGCAGCAGCAGGCCGCGGCTGCTGCTGCTGCTGCCTTCGCTGCCTCAGTGAAGCAGCTTGTGCCTGTGATTGGGTCTATGCCACAAAGCGCCCGCTGGGGCCTTTACGAACGCTTGCTGCGCGTTGCTGCAGTGCATGCAGCAGCAGCATATGTGTCTTTGCTGCACCTGGGAGCTCTTTGTGTCTCCTTGCCCCACAGCTTCTTCCTGAGCCAGCTCAGAGACGCAGCAAGCTTCTGCAGCAGCAGCAGCAGCAGCAGCAGCAGCAGTGGGAGCGATGGGAAGCGCGGAGAGAAACAGCAGGTGCCGGCTTTGGTGCAGCTGTTGCTTGCTGCTTTCCCTTCTCTTGACGATTTTGCTGCTGCAGTGCAGCAGATGCTGCTCAACAGCCTGCAGCAAAGCAGCAGCAAACAAGAGGCGCAGCAAGGCCCCCTGAAACCTTTTTTTAGGCAGCAGAAGCAGCAACGGCAGCAACAGCAGCAACAGGACATTTATGCGGCCGTTTTGCTGTCGCGTTTGATTGCAGCAGCTGCTGCTGTGGCGCCTTGCAGCAAACTTCCCCACGTAAGTGATAGCAGCAGCAGCAGCACGACGAGCAGCAGCGACAACAGCAGCTGAGTACCGAAGCTTTTTGGCAACTTACCAGCAGCAGTGCATTTGCTATCGCTATTGGTTTCTCTTGCAGCAGTAGCTGCTGCTGCTGCCGTTGCTGCTGCTGCTGCCGTTGCTGCTGCTGCTGCTGCTTGAACATATACGCTTTGTGTCGTCTTGTGTAGCTCTTGCCTGCAGTTGGTGTCTCTTGTTGCTGCAGTTTGCTGTTTATCTACACAAATATACTTGGACAAATATATTTGCACAAATATATTTAGATAAGTCCAGCTGCAACTGTGCTGCACTTGCTGCAGCAAACGCTGCTGGTGCTGCAGCTGCTGCTGGTGTGCTGTTTGTGGGCCCCCGCAGGCGGTGGCCTCCTGCTGCTACACCGCAGCAGCAGCATGCGACGACAGGCGAATGCTGCTTCTGGCAGCAATGAGCTGCGAAGGATTTGCATTGCCGCTGCAGCAGCAGCAACAACAACAACAGGAACAGCAGGAGCAGCAGCAGCAGGTGCAGAGCGTTTTATGCAGCAGCAGCAGCAGCATGGGCAGAGCCTTCGTCAGGCTTGCTGCTGCAGCTCTTTGCTGCCTTTAGTTCGGTGTTTTCTCGCGCCCTTAAATGCATGCTTGATTATGCGTGCTCGTTTGTTGCTGCAGCTGCTTGAGGAAATCTGTGCTGCACTGCAGCAACAGCTTAGCTGCCTGGCTGCGGAGTTGCAGCGTGCGGAGCGGCCCGGCGCACCTCCTGATGTTCTATTCTGGTCAGCTGCTGCTGCTGCTGCAGGTGGTGCTGCTGCTGCTGTTGCTGCTGCTGCTGCTTCTAATGGTAGCGTTTTCCACGACGTTGCTACTGCTGTTGCAGCCTTCAGACTTGCTTATTTCTCTTTGTATGGATGCATGCAAGCATACAACTATTATTATTATTATTATCATTATGATAATGATTATTATTACTTTTAATGTGTAAACATTTATTCATGTATTTACTTATTTGCTGCAGGCCAGAGGAAAGCAGCGCATGCAGCGATTTCAGCTTGTGGGTGAAGCATCGAGTGCTGCTGTTGGGTCACTTTTTGTACTTTTGCAGCAGTGACCTAATTGTGAAAGCTTTCAAACAAATACCAAATATAAGCTCTGACGAAATCTTTACCACTGCCGCCTCCAGCAGCAGCAGCAGCAGCAGCAGCAGCAGCAGCAGCAGCAGCGTGGAGCAGCTGCTGTGGACAGCTGTGGCGGTCTTGGGGCTGTGGGGTCTGGAGCCCAGCAAGCAGACGACAGGGGGTGGGTGTTTGGGTGTACGGACACCTCAGCTGTTGATTTGAAAAGCCAAGCCTCAATGACTTTAAACTGTCACTATTTATTTCCTCTTGAGATATGGCACTTCGCTTTCTTTCTTGCAATTAGACCTGCCTGTGTTGAATGCTTCTTTTACTTTTATTTTTTTCATCACAGAAGATGCACTTTTGTTTCTCTATATCCTCACATGCATATCTGCAGCGAAATATATATGTGCGCATGCAAAAACATGAGGAATTATGTGCACAAATACACAAACATTAAAAGACGCATCACAAGCCTGTGAAGGCATTTATATTTTTATTTCTATTAAACACTAATAAATAAAACAAATGCGCATTTGTGGGGCGGGCTGCAGCACATTTGCTGCTGGTGGCAGCTGCGACTGCTGTAGTTGGGGCTTTCGCTGCATGCGCGCATGCGCGCTGGGCTGCGCGCATGCAGGGGGCTGGGGGGGCCCCCATTTTGGGGCTTTGGGGCTGCAGCAACTGCGTCGCTGCGGCAGCAATTAACCGCAAGACCCTGGCCAGCCTAAAGCATGCACCTCTGCCCCACACCAGAGCTCCCCTTGGCCTCAGCAGTAAGGAAACAGACCGCGAAATGCATGCATGCATGCATGCATGCATGCATGCATGCATGCGCTCTTATAAGTACAAATGTCAATATAATGCAACAGACAAGAACAAACAAGAACAAACGCATTTGTTTTACTCTGCCTGTGCTCATGTCTATATTAATGTTTGAAATGATAAAAGTTTTTTTGTGCATTTGTGATTAAGTCCACAAGAGCAAATGTGTTAATTTATGCTTTTGCAAAGGCCCACAGTTGTGGCTGTGTGGTGGCTGTGCTGCAGCGCACGCAGCAGCAGAAGCCGTTGCTGCTGGCGCGGCAGCCGGCGAAGCAGCAGCAACAGCAGCAGCAGCAGCAGCAGCAGCAGCTGAAGCTTGTGATCTGTCTGCTTCTCTATTTCCCGAGGGGCTGCGGCCGCTAGAGGTCTGGATGGATGCAGTTGATTGGTTTTACAGCAGCAAGGGGGAAGCTCTTTCGGGTTTGTTTGCTGCTGCTCCTCTAGCAGCAGCAGCTGCTGCTGCTGTTGCTCCTGCTGCTGGCCAAGCGCCCGGAGAGGGACTCGCAGCTATCTTTCAGCAGCTGCTGCCCCCCTGTGCTGCTGATGCAGCAGCAAAGTACAGAAGCCGTGTCTTAGCTGCGCAGCAGACTCACTGGGGGCTGCTGCTGCCGAGCCTGGGTATCTCTTGCTCTGCAGCAGCTTCTGCTGCTGCAGCAGCCCCAGGCATTGACAGCTTAAGAGCAGCAGCAATCGATGCCCCCCCGGGGCCCGTGGGGGTCTCGCTGCTGCTGCTGCAGCAGATTGGACAGTGCAGCACGAGAGAGGCCCCGGGGCTGCTGCATGCGCTTTGGTTCTTTGCTGTTCCCACCCTAACGAGGCCCCTCCAGGGCTTGACTGAGGCCCCTTGGGGCTGCCTGGGGGCCCCCCCTCCTGCTGCAGCTGTGTGTGTGGCTGCAGCAGCGCATGCAGCACTTGCTGCTTTCGTGAGCGACTGCCGCCAAGTCATTCGGGGGCGGCTGGAGACGACGATCCCAGCGAGCCTTGTTGGAGGCATTTGCTGCCTCGTGCTGCACCCGCTGCTGCTGCGGTCGGAGTGGCAGCTGCAGCGGGTACTGGGGGGCCCTTCCCCGGCTGCGGAGGGGGCCCCTAGTCCAGCGGGGCGCCTACTGGGTCTGGGGGGCCCCTGGGGAGCTGGGGGCCCCCCAGAGGGTACAGAGGGGGCCCCCACACAAAAGGGGGGCCCCCAGCGTGGTGGATTTATCTTTGAGTTTGTTGAGGACTTGGTTGCTGAGGGAACCGTCAGCCTGGGGCTGTCTCGCGCTGTGATTTGTAAGCGAAGAAAAAGCAAATAGAGGAATAAATAAACAACAAATAAGGAATAAATGAATAAAGAAACAACATAAATAAACAATAATGAATAATAAATGAATTAATTGAATAAACAAAAGCAATGGCATTTCGTTGTGGCTGAACACTCTGCAGCCTTGCCTGCATGCGCTGTACAGACACCATACCCACATAAGTGCATGCGCATGCGGGTCTCTGCATGCATTATAACATGAAAATACTTTTGCGCATATTTGTGTGTATTATAAAAACAAATTCGGATTAAATTCGTTTGCCTCTTTATATTTATTATAAATACAAAAAGGGATCCGTTTGAGGAAGCGAAAAACGCAGAAATGCCACTTAAAAGAACCCAAATGGACATTCTCTAATTCGCGCAATGTTTGCTTGCTTCGTATTTATATGAAAGTATATTTGATTAATATCCATATACACTGTCCTTTATGGTATTATATCTGTCAATAATAACAATAATAAAAATAATAATAATTAGAACAATAATACGATTAATAATTGTAATGATAATAATAACAATTTAAAATGGAGTAGCACTCTTTTGCAAAATGCACAGATTGCTGGCATTAATGATCTGCTTGAAATGCGCAATGAGAATGCATGAATAGATGCATGAATAGAAAAGAGTTTTATTTTGCATTTTGCATGCAAATGGATTTATTCACAAATGTGTCTTGGGTCTTCTCAGTGCCTCTTTTGTCTTCTTTGTTTGTTGCTGGAGCTGCGGATTCGAAAGAAAGGCCTGGGGGCTCTGGGCTGCCCTGTACGTACACCCGGCTGCTGGCCAAGCTGCTGCTGCACCGCGAGTTCGTGCTGCTGGACGGAGACAGCTGCTGCCCCACAGACCCCTTTGAGCTCCCCAGCCCTAAGTCCCTTTACACATGCAGCTGCAGCAGCAGCAGCAGCAGCAGCAGCAGCAGCAGCAGTGGAAGCGACAGCTGGAGCAGCGACAGCGAGGACGCCAACGCAGCCCATGCAGCCGCCAGCAGCAGCAGCAGCAGCAGCAGCAGCAGCAGCAGCAGTTCGTGCTGCAGCCGCTGCGGCCTGCCTGTGGGAATGTCAAGCTGCGACCCGGTTTCGTTTTTCTTGTCAGTGAGTCCCTGCTGCCGGGACTTTCGTTCTTTGTCTCTTTGCAATTCAGCAGCAGCAAACTCTTTTTCTCCTTTTTGCTGCATTGCCCCCCCCCTGGCTTTAACCCCCCCACTCGCTCTTCTCCCCAGGGCCCTCCCCTCCCGCTTTTCGGGCCTTTCCCAAACCCCCGCCTATCTCCGTCTCATAACCCTCACGCTCTTAGACGCGCTTTCCCAAAGCCTTTCTCCGGGGGCCCCTCTAGGGGGGCCCCCCGTGCCCCCAGCGGCCGCCCTAGGGGGCCCCCCCTCGCCTCCAGGGGCCCCCTCAGGGGGGCCCCCCGTTCTTCCAGGGGCCCCTGAGGGGGCCCCTGGAAGGGGGGCCTCCTCAGCGGGGGCTCCTCTGCCGCAGGCTTCCACTGAGGGGGCCCTTGGAGGAGGCCCTCTACAGGACAGCCCGGCAACGCGTCAGGGGCCCCCTGGGGGCCCCCCCGGGGGGCCCCCAGGGGGGCCCCCTGGATCGGACCCTGGGGCCCCTCCTGGATGGGCCAGTGCGGGTCTGCCCTGCATAGATGCAAATCAAAAAGAATTCTTAAGGACAAGTTTGTCTGCTGTATTTGAAGCTCTGGCAGAAAAGGCAATCGAAGCTGTAGAGACACCCCAAGACGAGGCAGAGCCAGCCGAGAGGGACGCAAACAAACAGGCAAATCAGCAGCAGCAGCAGCAGCAGCAGCAGCAGGGCAACGAAGCTGAAGGGGAGCAGTCTGAGGGGGCCCCCCGGGGGCCCCCCTGCGACCGTTTGCCCATGCCGAATTCTGCTCGCCACCGGGGGCAGCTGCGGGCGTGGCAGGCGCTGTCTTGTTTGTCATGTCACTTAGGTGTATATACACCTCAATCCGTGGAAAAGATTCAAAAACTTATTTTCGAACTGCTCAGCAAACCCCTCATGCCAGATGTCCGGCATTATGTCGAATTCGTAGCTGTTCGACTTGCCAAGGGAGCCCTACAGGGGCTTCTCTCTGGGGGCCCCTCTGGGGGCCCCTCTGGGGGCCCCTCTGGGGGCCCCTCTGGGGGCCTCTCTGGGGGCCCCTCTGGGGGCCCCTCTGGGGGCCCCTATGGTTGCGTGTTTGCTTTGGTTGATATTTTGGGGCGGTATGATTTGTCGCGGCAAGTAGTGATAAGTGCGTTGACTGTGGGGGGCTACGTGCTGCTGCATTTGAGAAAGTGGACAGCAGCAGCAGCAGCAGCAGCAGCAGCAGCGGCAGCAGAGTCTACGGCGGACGCCCTAGAGCAGCTGCTGCTGCTGGCCATTGCCCCTTATCTTACCTCCAACGCCGCCTACTGCAGAGGCACAGCGCAATACTTAGTGCATGCGTTTTTGTCTCGCGCAGCAGCAGCAGCAAAGGCCCCGCCGGCAGCGCCAAACGTAGGCCCTAGCAGCAGCAGCGGCAGCAGCGGCAGCAGCAGCAGCAGCAGCAGCAGCAGCGGCAGCAGCAGCAGCAGCAGCAGCAGCAGCAGCAGGTCAGGGTTTGTGAAGGCCCTGTACCGCATGCTAAGCGAATCGAAAGATTGCAAAATGATGATTTCTAAATTGGAAATGGCATTTGAAAGATGGAGTCCAGAGAGGGACGGCTGTATATACACCCTAATTCCCGAGGCGGGGGTTGTGTTCGAGACTATGCAGCAGCACAGTAAACCCCAAACCCTAAACCCTAAACCCTAAACCCTCAGTGCAGCGTGGGGCCAGATATCTGCTGTCTTGCTGCTGTGAATTACCGCATGCACTGCTGCTGCTGCGGGCTTGCTGCTGCTGCTGCTGCTGCCTTGCTGCTGTGAATTACCGCATGCGCTGTTGCTGCTGCGGGGTTGCTGCTGCTGCTGTTTTGCTGCTGCTTAGGCGCGTCGCTGCGAGGCGCGAGCGCCCTGGGGTTTGAAGAAGCAAAAGGAGAAGAAGTTTTTAATCAAGAAGAAATAAAAGGAGACACAGACACAAAAAAACAGCAGCAGCAGCAGCAGCAGCAGCAGCTAGCTGATGTCCTCTCGAGCTTTGACCTCAGGCCCTCCTGGGCCCTCGCAGTGGCCCTTAAGGAGGCAGTGCAGCAGGAGATGAAGAGGGCGTGGCACACACCAGCTGCTGCTGCTGCTGCTGCTGCTGCTGCTCCTGGTGCTGCTGCTGCTGCTGCTGCTTCCGGCTATGATGCTGCGGGGTATTGTGACGAAGTGCCTGGCAGCGAGGGCTCGATTCCGAGTTTTGCTGCTGCTGCTGCAGCACCAGCAGCAGCAGCAGCTGCTGCTGCTGCTGGTGCAGAAACGGCACTGGCATCAGCAGCTGGCAGCAGATCAGACGCAGCAGCAGCAGAGACAGAGCCAGGGCCTTGCCAGAGGAAATTTGTGCCGGCAACGCAGGTCGAGCTAAGAGCTAAACCCTAAACCCTAAACCCTAAACCCTAAACCCGAAATCCTAGGCTTTTTTCCCCAAGCCCCCAACCATTAGATCTAATCCCAACGCACTAAACCCTAAACCCTCAACCATTGGCAAACCCTAAACCCTAAACCCTAAACCATTGGCAAACCCTAAACCCTAAACCCTTTTGCTGCGGGGACTGGTGCTGCAGGCGCTGCTGAGCAGCAGCTGCCTCTGCGTGGAAGACCCGCTAGCTGCTTTTGCTGCGCTGCGGCAGCGCAGCAACTTAATTGTTGTTGCTTCTCTTATTTCAAAGTCGCCAAACTTGGGAGGTTTAGCGAGGACTTGTGAAGTTTACAACGTCAAGTCAGCTGCGCCAACTAGCTGCTGCTGCTGCTGCTGCTTCTAA